CCCTGCCCTCCGCGCGCCGCGCTCACACTTGCCTTCTCTTCCTCTAGAGTCGCGCCTGGGACCCGGTTCCTCCGTCCAGCCTGATCCCTCCGGGCGGCATGAGCGTGAGTGAATTGCCCGGGGCTCGCCTGGCTGCGTGGCTCTGGGGACGTCTGGCTCGTCTTTCACAGCGCGGTTCAGGGCATGCGTTCTCCAACTTTCTCTCGGTCGTCCTTGCGACCCCGGGCAAGGTGCCTCCGCAGGCGCCCGCTCTCCAGCACTCGGGCTCGGGCTCTATCTTCAGAATCCTGCCCAGAGAGCCGACGTACGGAGAGAAAGCCGGGTGCCCAGGTTGGGGACGACCTCGCCAACCGGGTAGACAAGAGCCGAGCCATGAAGGGTGTGGGCTAGGCGGGCGGGGACCCAAGGACGAGCGTCCCTTCGGGCATCTACTCCAATGGCGCACGAGCTGGTGCTGTCGCGGCGAGGGTCCCTCGGAGGGACCTGTTCTGCGCCAGGGCAGGCTCGGAGCGCGCGTCCTTCTAGTCCAGGGCGCGGCTCCTGCGACTTTGCACTTGGCTACTGGCGCTTGGCCCCGGGCTCCTGGCGACCGTGCGGGCAGAATGCAGCCAGGACTGCGCGACGTGCAGCTACCGCCTGGTGCGCCCAGCGGACATCAACTTCCTGGTGAGTGCGAGCGCGGGGAGCCGGAGTCGCCACAGTTCGCGGACACACCTGTCCGAGCTGTGGTCGGCGAACTCTCGGTGACGGGGTCCCCTGCTCTTCCCGGGAGACTAACCGAGGTCCCGCCGTGGCTCTCAGCTCCAGGGACCCTCGACTGTCTCGGGCGGTAAGGGCAGTGGTGGCCGGACACAAACTCGCGTCTGTGGTAACCCTGGGTATCCGGGAGCCCCAGAAGTGTGCTCTCTTCAGCACCTGGGATAGCGCTGGGTTTCTCCTCGGCTATCCCCTGGGAGTTGCTCAGTCGCCCAGCTCTTAACACACCCCCACCGCGTCCCTCCAAAGCTACCGTCCTCCCATCTTTCCTGCAAATAATGTGATTTTTGGTTAGCCCCGTTTTGTCATCTTTCTTCACGTTTTTGTTTTCCCAAACTCTTCCCTTTGCCCTCCCTTGTGGAAAGGAGAAAGCAAGGGAAAGGGAAAGACGGGGAGCGAAAGGGGAAGTCTGTAGGTTAGGGAGGAAGAGCTTAGTACTTGCCTTCCGACCAAGAGCCCCGGAATTCAGCTTCTGTCTTGTCTTGAGTGCACTCTCAGGATAGGCTAAAACAACAGGTGAATCTGGCTGTGAGAAGGGCATGAGCCAGCCAGTGTCCAAAGAGGTAAGGAGGGCCCAAAGATAAACTACGAGCAAGGGCTCCGTGGGGAGTAAAGGCTGAAGACACAAGACCGTCATTTTAACCCCAGCCACCGGCCCTTGGATCTCCTCTGGTGACCGAGAGTCAGAATCTCTGCATGTGACACTGGGGGATTCACTTCAGCCAGCACCCCTACTGAAACCTTTGCCGTGCCTTTGAAATGTGTTGAAATTCTGTGACTTCAAAAGGTCAGGAGAGAGTAACATAGAAATCCAAGCTGATTCACTCTCCACTGGGCCCTCAGAAGAAATGTGATGCTACCTAGATACTCGAAATGGAGTAGACTAAGAAAAGACTCCCAAACTCCGAGCTGTATATTTCAGGTTCAATATTTGTAAGTTTAATTTATAATTGAATTACCTAACACACTTTATTTGATACGGGCTAACTTGGCCTTAGAGAAAAGACCCATAGTCGGGTTGTATATTTAAACTGTGAGGAAAGCATTTCTTCTTAAATAGGGGAAGGAGCTCCTTTGTCCATCTTTCATCTTTTTAAAACTCATGAGCTTTTAAGCCATCCCTAAAAACCGAGCAAGTGCTACAAACATAACGATAGACCTGGTGAGTGAAGAATTTTATACATGAAAGAGAGCGATAAGCCTAAAACATAACTCGTTGAAGGCCCTACTTCCTGCCCTCATAATTCTTCCTGCCCTGATAACTCTTCCTGCTCACTCCTATGTATTCTGAGTGCAGGGTTCAGGCCTCTAGCCCGGCTTTCTCTGCCATCCACATCAGTTATGTGGATTCTAGTCAAATGTCTAACTGCCTTTACCTCAAAGTATAATCGTATCAGATTTACTTAAATTACATGATTCAGTGAATCAATCTAACATTTAACAATAACTGCTCAAATGTTTCGGATTTTTTTTTTTAATGTTTAATTAGCTCACTTCCCCAAGTTTCTAATGGTATCAATTTTTCCTCTTTCATTATTGAGGAACTTGACAAGAATTAAATGTCTAACTGCCTTTACCTCAAAGTATAATCGTATCAGATTTACTTAAATTACATGATTCAGTGAATCAATCTAACATTTAACAATAACTGCTCAAATGTTTCGGGTTTTTTTTTTTTAATGTTTAATTAGCTCACTTCCCCAAGTTTCTAATGGTATCAATTTTTCCTCTTTCATTATTGAGGAACTTGACAAGAATTCACTATGCTAACCCTTCTCTGGGTCTCTCCAAGAATTCTGATTTCTTTTTCTTCTCATTCCCTCATCATTTAGCAGAATTTGGGGGGAATCAGTGGGAGGAAGAGGAAAAACAACAGCTCTTTTTCTGAAATTTTCCTCACTCTTTATATTCTCACTATTGTTTTTATTTATTTAATATTTTTAATCCAGATAGCGCTATAGTATGTATAATAGAAGCAACTTGAAAAAAAGGTAATAAACCATCCATCAAAAAAAGTCTCTTGAAACAGTATTTTAAATAATAACTAGCTTATTTATTTTGTGCTGGGGCTTACATTGAAAGTTATGTTCTCAGTGACACAAGGTTTAGTTAATGACTATGTTGCTAGAATTACAGCAGTTCTGGAATTTGAGCTCAAATGCAACAGACAAATAAGAAATGAAATTGCCCAGCCAAGAATCAATGTAGCTAATATTTATCGAGCTTCTGCCATCTGAAAGATACTTCTGCTTGGTGCTGCAATGGATGCAAATATAAACAGGTGTGTCCAAATAGAATTTACCATCTAATAATGATCTTGACTATAGAACACAGAGTGTGATAAGTACATAAAACATGCACGCAGAGATGGCTGTAAGCGCTATAAATTAACATCATGGTTTTAGTGTTATTCTAATTATTTGTCACTGCAGCTTTCTGAAAGAATTCCAAATCCTATGCATTTAAAAGATTATAGGTATTCATATGCAAAATACTCAACATCAAATTTTGGCAACAAGATTATTCAAATATTATTTTAGAATAGAAATATTATTGCCCCCTGAACGTCTTCAGCTTTTAATGATGTTTTGATTCCTTAACTGGGTATCAGAAATAAAACAGGACCATTTTAATCACATCATCTCCAGTTTTTAAAAAGTAATATATTTAATTTTCTTAGACACACAGCTTACATAACCATTAAGAGCTAGTTACGTATGTACCCGAAAGTTTTTGTCACACTAATGAAATACTTTCTTCTAGTGTGAAAATAATCTGTGTGTATTTAGTATCAATCAATATACCAGTATTATTTTAAATATCAAGAAAAGGCCTGTTTTTTTCTGTCTAAATCAATGGTCTCTGACCTAGGTTCTAGCCATTTTCAAGGACTCTAAAAACCCCTGAATTTCTAAAAAATATTATATGGACTTTATAAACGTTCATGTAATATTAGTACTCCTTTATTATACCCAAGTATTTTGTTAAATAGAAAAAAATCTTAATGAAATCATTAGGCTATTTGATCAAAATCTTACAATCTTTTAATTTAATTATTCTTAAATTAAAAAGGAAAGAATTGTATTATTATTATTATTACTTTTATTTTATCAAATAACATGATTTCCACAGGACAAGACTTTCTCTATATACCAATGACTGAATGTTAAGAAAACAAAGATGACTAATTAGTGTATTTGCATATGTATGACTTCGTATCTGATCTTGTTATTATAGGCATTTGGTTAAAGATGAGAAAATCTGTTTTGATGAATAAAAAAAAATAGGAAAAAAGAAAATGTCTCTACTTTCAGCAAATCAATATATCAAAAGCCAAAACCTTCGTAAGATTTGAGTTTTAGAATTTTTTTCTTTTTAAATTTATTTTGAAAGTGTGAAAGTGTTCTTTTGCCACTTAAAAATATTTACAAAAATATTGTATATTATTCTAGGTAAAATATTAATATAGAAAGAAAACTAATGTTATGTCATTAATATTGACTTTTGCCTGTAAGACAAAGATATAAACAAATTTTTGAGGAAATCTCCCTAATTAGAGAAACTGAAATGTCTCCTTTTTGGTTAGAAAAATCTCAGACAAAATGATATCAACCATGGAAAACTATCCAGTAAAATTAGATTGTAAAAACAGGCAATCTAATTTAAATATTGAAATGGCACAGATTTTATGGCAGGTTTAATATCCCAACACAATTGCCTCTCAGCCTTTTAGCTAAGTTCAGTGTAAAATCCAGGATAAATTTCTAATGTGATTTAGTTCATTTCCCCTCCCACTTTTCCCTTCCCATTTTTTGTTTCATTTGCCTGTTCTGTGTGATAAAAAGTTGTGACAAGAAAGTAAAGATGACCTTATTCTACGGGAGTTGCGTTACCAAAGCAAGCCTACTGTGGTCCCGTGACTTTGTGTACTTCGTGAAAGCAGAGAGGCTGACTTTATCATGCCGTGAATTGTATTCCCAGGCTTGCACACTGGAATGTGAAGGAAAACTGCCTTCTCTCAAAATCTGGGAAACCTGCAAGGAGCTCCTGCAGCTGTCCAAACCCGAGCTTCCTCAAGATGGCCTGAACACCCTCAGGGAAAGCGGCAAACAGGAGGAGGGCCACTTACTAGCCAAAAAGTATGGGGGCTTCATGAAAAGGTATGGAGGCTTCATGAAGAAAATGGATGAGCTTTATCCTGGCGAGCCAGAAGAAGAGGCCAATGGAGGTGAAATCCTTGCCAAGCGATACGGGGGCTTCATGAAGAAGGATGCAGGGCAAGACGACTCCCTGGCCAACTCCTCCGACCTGCTGAAAGAGCTGCTGGGAACAGGCGATAACCAGGAGAGCAGCCACCACCAGGAGGGCAGTGACAACGACGAAGAAATGAGCAAGAGATACGGGGGCTTCATGAGAGGCTTAAAGAGAAGTCCCCAGCTGGACGACGAAGCCAAAGAGTTGCAGAAGCGATATGGTGGCTTCATGAGAAGAGTGGGTCGCCCAGAGTGGTGGATGGACTACCAGAAGAGGTACGGGGGCTTCCTGAAGCGCTTTGCCGAGGCCCTGCCCTCTGATGAAGAAGGTGAAAGTTACTCCAAAGAAGTCCCCGAAATGGAGAAAAGATATGGAGGATTTATGAGATTTTGATGCCCTTCCCCGTCGATGACCCCAGGCCCCAACAAGCCTCCCTCTGGCCTGCTCAGTGGGAAACTGCCCCGTTGGTGGTGGTGTCCTGTCCTGTGTTGCCTGCACTGTGTAGCTTCTTCGCGGTCTGCGTAGCTGTCCAACTTGAAAGCCATTGTTTCAGGGTCTCCGTTCTTTTTAGTTCTTATTAAGCTCAGAGGTCTATTGCAGCCATCTCATTATTATGCTAAAATTGTTGTTACCTTGTCCTTTATTTTTGACGAAACCTAAGTAGTAACTGCTTACGTGTATATAAATATAATAAACCCATTATCCCCAGTGCATTATATTCTCGTGAGTCTCTTCTTCTCCAAAACTCCTTTGAGTCTTCACAGTAAATCCTGGTCTCGGAGTCAGTGACACTGTCTGCTTTTGACAGACTCGTCAGTGGGCTCCTTCTCTTCCAGCTAAGCCCGCAGGAACATTTTTTAATTTGATTCCTTCTCTATGAAATCAAAGGTGAATAAGCACATTGGAACAAAATAAAATGTATCTTCACTCTCTGTTTTGGAAATCAGATACACAAAGAAAAACTAAAGACTAATAAACTATGACCTTGTATGTTAGGAAACTGGCATTTAACTCAGGGGTATATGTCTCTTTAACAAAGAATTTCAAAGTTAATAAGTTAAAGATAATTTAGCCTCATGTTACAAATGAAAAAAGTGAAGCCCAGGAAGATTAAGTAGTTGGCCCAAGGTTGCCCAGTAGTTGTAGGATAGAAGTCGGATTAAAATCCCAGCCTTCTTATCTCTGGGCAATCCTTATCCTTTCCACTGGATGGCAGTTCCTTATCTACCATCCAGATCACTAGCAAGAACAGGAAGACCTTGGGACTGCATTGTTTACTATCAGACACCTGGAACACAAGGCTACAGGAAATTCTTCAAGTGATGGCTAGATGAATGGCTGAATGAATGAATTTGATGACCAGATCATCAGAAAAGATAGTGTGAGTGTTTTGTAAAGCACATTCGCAAAACACAGGACACTTATGAGTACTCGTATTAATGAAATCATTTGGGGCAACATTCAGATATAAGAAATGCAATATTTCTTCATTTTTTCTCATTGAAATTACAGGCAGTTCGACTCCACTAAGTCATTTCTTTCAGGATTCCCACTAACTCTTTCTTTTGTGTTCTTCAAAAAATAAAAGTCCAATGATTTAGAAAAGAGGATGAGGACCAGCAGATGACGTAGTGGTTACTTCACTGGACTCCCCCATGGCCAACTGTAGTTTGAGTCTTTGACCCAGTGACTTGAAACTCACATGGGGCACATGTGCATGTGCACCCAAGATCCCAAGATGAGAATAAAAAAGAAGGAATTGTGGCATGACCATATCCCCTGGGGGGGTGATTTCTCACTTTCTCTCTCACTGTCTCTGTCTCTTTCTAGTGAGTGCACATGCCTTAAGACAAAAACTTCTAAAAAAAAAAAAAAAAGAAAGAAAGAAAGGAGGATGAATCTCTGGTCTGCAGTCCATCAGCGTTTCCGACAACATACTAATGGACGGACCAAGGCTGTGAGCTCCATTCTAATGTGACTGTCCCACTATCCTCAGCAGTCCAGCCCCTTCAGGCTAACCTGCCAGGGCTCCTAGGGTATCCACATGGCCGTACTCTATAAGGAAACCTATGAGTGTAGTAGGTTAAGATCCTCCCAGGTCCTCACAGGTCAGTGCAGAGGGTCCCTATCTTCACAGAGACCCAGCATTACACCTCTCTTATTTTGTTTGTTTGTGTGCTTACTTACTTGCTATAGCGTGCATGTCCTTGCCAGACAGAAAGAGAGAGAGATAGGGAAAGTGAGAAATCACCCTCCGGGGAGATGGCCATGCTGTAATCCCTTCTTCACTTTTTCTCTCCTGGGATTTTGGGCCCATATGTACCTGCATCTGGACTGCCATGCACTCCAACAGCGCAGCCAGCCCCATGGGATCCAGCTGCCTGCCACCTCTCCACCAACCGGCCCATCACTATTTGCACCTTGACTTGTTGGTAAGTCAACTTTGTCTTCTAGACAGAGCCCTGAGAGTCCTTTTCTTTCTGATTAGCAACATAAGTAATGGAAGCAAATCAGATCAGGGAAAAGATGACCAACCTGCTGCCCTTGGAAATCCGCATCAGGATGAAGACGCGATGGGACATGACAAAGTGGTGGTAGGAGTCCTCTAGAAGCCTGAACCAATTGTTGCCCTTGGAAATGCCAACCCATACTGTCGGGCTTTTCAAAACACAAACAAAAATAAAAACCTGAAACCTAGATTTTTTTAAGATAATATCCCAAGTTTTTTAATGCCTCTTCTCTTCAAGCCTAGGTGATTATAAGGTTGTTTGCTGAAAGGCCTTGCAGCGATGCCCAGTTCTGGGACCAAGGTCCTCAGGTAAATAAGTATGACGGTTGTCCATGAAAGGTGAGTGAATGGTACTGCATAAGACTCCATCTCCAAGGGGCTCCAGGCTGTCAACCCTCAATCTGAAATTTCATCATCAGAGTTCTGCTTCTTTAACTCTTGAACTCTTTAATGTTTCCCTGTTGAAATTCTGAGAAGCAATTGCCCAAGATCATGTCGAGTGCTTTTTTAAAAGATGTATATATATACACACATGCACATGCCATATGGGCATGTGCACTCATCAGAAAGGCAAAAAGAGACAGAAAGTGAGAAATCACCCCCTGGGGTGATTTCCCTTCTCCTCCTTTTTGGATCTTGGGCACGCATGCACATGCACCTGGTGTGAATTTAAGCCACCAGGTCCAGGACTCAAACTGCAGTGGACTACATGGGAGTCCAGTGATTTAGCCATTACGCCAGCTGCTGGTCCCATAGTTTTTAGTATAGAGTATGTGCACTTTTGGGGAAGAGAGGGAGAGGGAAAAGTGAGTAATCACTGCCCAGGGGGATGACCACACCACAGTTCCTTCTCCTCCATTCCCCTTTGAGGACTTTGGTCACGTGAGTACACGTCTAGAGGGTTTTCCAAGCCCCTGGGTCTGGGAATCGAACACAAAGCATGAAGTCAGTCATGTGGGATCCAGCACCACACCACCTGGCTTGCCCTAGAGTGCTATTTCAAACGCAGATAACTGGGCTCAGCTCAGCACAAATGTGGAGATCCAGAAACATGAGAAGGGCTGGGCTGAGGATGAGCCTAGGACGTGGAGTGAGATGAACCCCAAGCTGCTACTGACTTGAGAACACACTGTGGGCAGAGAAGGCTGAAAAGCCACAGGCCTGCAGAGGGTGCCACTGCTCCATGCTGTACCTTTCCTAGAGCTGGAGCTTCCTCATGCTCCTTTGTACTGTCCCAGTAAAGCCGCCTTGCTGCAAAGCCTGAGGACTGGGCTGAGTTCCTTCCAGAGTCAGCTGGTGAGCTCTGGACCAGGCTTCCTGGATGGAAATTTCAGCTAGCTGTGAACCGAAGCTCTTCCTGTCTCCCCTTCCTCCTCTCTGCCTCCTCAGGGTGTGGTAAGAAGCACGCTTGTTACGGTGCAGAGTCCTTAAGGGTGGCATACAGTCAGCACTGCAGGGCCAGCTGCTGCCACTCAGCCCTCCAGTCTGTCCAGTGGATCTCGGGCACCCCCATCTGTCCCCCCTTCACCCCGGGTCTTTCAGGGATGAGATGCTGTGAGCCTCAGCCCTAGACATCAGGTAGGGGACCTCCTGTCCTAATGATAGTGTCCCACAATGCAGAAACTACTTGTGGAGTCCCTCAGTACTCTTCTTCACTTTCTCTCTTTTCTCTACAAACTTATAAAACCTGCATAATCAAAGATTCGTACACATCATTATACAGTTGTTTGAACCCATAGAAAGTATGCCACCAGGCCAGCTGGTGGCATGGAGGTTAAGGTGGCTGGATCGCACACTGCTGACTGTATGCTTTGAGTCCTGGACCCAGTGACTTGAGAGACAGGCCAGTCACACGTGTGCCCAAAAACCCACAAGGAGAAATGGAGAAAGGCTTGCTGTGTGACTATTCCCCATGGGGGTGGTGGGGGTAGTGAGGGGGTGTTTCACTTTCCTCATCCCTATTTCCCTCGCTCTCCAACAAGAGCAGGTATCCTTTGGCACAATTTTAAAATATAAATAAAGTGCAATGCCAAGAATGAACCCCAACATCAATACGGACTCTGGGCAGTAAGGGCTGTCAGTACATGCTTATTGGTTGTAGCAAAGGGACCGTCCCAGTAGGAAATGTTGATAATGAGGAGGCAGTGCAATGTGTAAAGGAGGGGATATCTGGGAAACCTCTGTACTTCCCACTCAGTTTCTCTGTGAACCTAAAACTGCTCTCCAAAAATAAATAAAGTTTTTAAAAGAACAAGTAATCTCAAACCAAAAATAATAATAATAAAAATAATAAAGAATCTGAGGCTTGAGCTACAGATGTTTCTTCTAGGAGGAGATAAGGAAGAAGTATAAAGCTTTTATTTTTAATTCGCTAGAGGGTATGTGTGCTTGCCAGAGAGAGAGAGAGACAGAGAGGGGGAATGAGGGAGAAAGTACTCTCTTACAGGGCCTGGTAGTACCGCAATCCCTTCTCATCCTTTCCTCCGTCCTTTCGGGCTTTGGGCACACACGCACATGTGCTACTCACGTTTCTCAAGCTGAGTCTGGAACTCGAACCATGTGCAGTTGGTCATGCGAGACCCAGCGCTCTTACCCGGCAGACCATGGGTTGGCCCAAGCTTTTTTTAATACTTTTATTTGTGGGTTTTTTCCCTTCTTTTTTTTCTTTTTCCCTGAAATCAGAAGCACCCCTACCTAAATCAGTTCATATATTTGACAGACAAATGACCCCAGTGTGTAACTATCTGATGAGAGAGCAGTCTAGACTGAGAGGGGAGTAACATGTCCCAAAATGGGATCATCGGGAACTACTGGAGGAGCAGCAAGACTTGTGAGGCCACGTAGAGACTCTGGCTAGCGCACTGGGTTTTGTTCCCAATGCAATAGGCAACAATGCAGGGTTGAAAGCAGGTGCGCTACCCAGTATGCTGGTGTGTTTACACCTCAGTGTCTGCCACGTGGAGCACGTTTTCTCTCTCACCCTCGCGACCTAAGGGGAAAGTGTATTCCACATCTGTCGTCATTTCACATACGTCAAAACTTCTGTTTACCTGGAGGAGAAAGATTTTTTTTTGGTTTGGTTTTTTGTTTGTTTGTTTGTTTGTTTGTTTTGGTTCACTATAAGGCACATGCACATGCCAGAGAGAGACAGAGAGTAAGAGAGAGGGGGAAATTAAGAAATCCCCCTCCCCTCCCCCTGCCGTGGGGCA